CTTCCGAGAAAGGCAAGCCTCGTGCCCCGCGCAAGACCGCCGCGGCGGCCAAGCCGAAGAAGGCGCTGACGCCCGAACAGCGGGCAAGGGAGTCGGCCAACAGGAAGGGCCGGAGGCACGCCGCAGACGCGAGGGATGAGGCCGCTGCGCAGGCCGCCGCCGCCGCCGCCGCGCAGCAGGAGTTCACCAAGGCCCGCGTCGCCGCGGCAACAGGGAGGCGCTCTACATGCTTGGGGTAAACCCTAGCCAGCACGGCCTCATCCAAGCCGCCGTCGCCGCGGCCAGCACCGGCTCGTCGGCGTTTCCTCGGATGGTGATGCCCGACTCACCCCGCGCATCGGCTTGCAACCCGGTCCCCGGCTTCCACGTCTACCCGCAGGCCTCCCGCCTCTCCGGGGAGTGCTCACCCCGCGCATCGGCTTGCAACCCGGTCGCGCCTTCCACGCCCGCGCCCATCGACCTCAACGCCACCCTGGTGGTTGGTGGCTCGTCGTCCGGCGGCACGAGGAAACGCGCGCGACAGGCGCCGGCCGGCGGTCTCCCGGACGCCCATAACCTGTTCGAGGAAATGTCGTCCACCGTCGACGAGGACTACATGCAACACCTCATCTTCGAGGGTGGTGCGCCGGTGAAAGGATCGATATGGTTGACTAGAGGGGGGAGGGGTGAATAGGCAACTAACAATTTTTAAGCTTTTCTTTATCAATTTAAACCTTGCAACAAAATAGGTTGACTAGATATGCAACTACGTGGACAACCTATATGATGCAAAGACAACTAGCACACAAGCAAGCAATAGATACAACACAAGTAAGCTTGCAAAAGTAAAGGCACGAAATAACCAAGAGTGGATCCGGTGAAGACGAGGATGTGTTACCGAAGTTCCTTCCTTTTAAAGGGAAGTACGTCTCCGTTAGAGCGGTGTGGAGGCACAATGCTCCCCAAGAAGCCACTAGGGCCACCGTAATCTCCTCACGCCCTCACACAATGTGAGATGCCGTGATTCCACTATTGGTGCCCTTGAAGGCGGCGACCGAACCTTTACAAACAAGGTTGGGGCAATCTCCACAACACTTGGAGGCTCCCAACAACACCACGAAGCTTCACCACGATGGAGTATGGCTTCGAGGTGACCTCAACCGTCTAGGGTGCTCAAACACCCAAGAGTAACAAGATCCGCTAGGGATTAGTGGGGGGAATCGAATATCTCTTGGTGGAAGTGTAGATCGGGCCCTTGTCACCCAATACCGAGCAAATCAACAAGTTTGATTGTCTAAGGAGGGAGATCGGGCCAAAATGGAGCTTGGAGCAACAATGGAGCTTAGAGATAGAAGAGGTAGTCAACTAGAGGTAGAAGACGCCCCTTTTATAGTCATGGAAAAGATCCAACCGTTATCCACATGTTCAGCCTGCGACATGCGGTACTACCGCTCCAGGAGCGTGGTACTACCGTGGAGGGCCACGGTACTTCCGCGGCAGCAGCAGAGGCCGGGACTTGCCTGACTGAGTGCAGTACTACTGCTTGCGCGGTACTACCGCTCCCCCTTGCGGTACTACCGCAAGGCAGGAAAGTCAAAGCCTATGAAGAGCGCGAATGAAATAAAATACATCCGTGCCTACTTCCACTGAAAATGAAACAATGCAAAAAATCCGACGCGGTACTACCGCGCACGAGGCGCGGTACTACCGTGGAGACACGGATGTAAAAATTTACATCCGCTCCTACTACTGTGACTCAGCGGTACTAGGCATGAGGGCCACGGTACTACGACTCTGGGAGCGGTACTACCGTGGCCTCCCGCGGTACTACCGCGCAGGACGTGCGGTACTATCGTGAGGGCGCGGATATAAAAAATTACATCCGCCCCTACTACCGTACCGGAGCAGCACTAGGCCTGGGAGCCACGGTACTAAGGCTCCAGAGGAGCGGTACTACCGTGACCCCCAGCGATACTACCGCAGGTGCTTGCGGTACTACCGCTCCATAGAGCAGTACTACCGCAAGTACAACAGTAGCCGTCAGATTAAGCACAACTAGGATAACGGAGAGATGCTCCAAAGTGCAAGGGAAAGGAAGGACATGTGTACGTGTTGATTCCACCCGAACCTTTCCGACGCGGACCCCCTCTTAATAGTACGACTCTCCTACGACTCAAATCCACCAAAGAGAAACGTAGAACAACGCCGTCTTCAATAGTCTTCGAGGGGCACCGAATCATCTCGTGCCTAGAGATGAAGCGTCTGAGAAACTAAAGGCACACGATTAGTCCGTAAAAGCATTGTCATCAATCACCAAAACACTTAAGGGATACATATGCTCTTACAATCTCCCCCTTTTTGGTGGATTGATGACAATACGGGATTTGCACATAGATGAGATAATATAGGGCACAGGCAAACCCCTCCTCTCTAGAATATTGACGGGCTCCCCCTAGATGTGTGCAATCTAGATAGATGCTTTGGACTGCATCACACACAACCTAGGATCAACACTCCCCCTATATTATAGATACAAAGGCATGATAACTAACATCTAAGCAGAGCATATCACAAAGGTAGCACAATATATCACAAGCTTGCTAAGATAGATAGAGTGCATATGTCTTACACCATAGGAAGTAAAGCAACCCAAAGCAACTGAAATGAGGTTCAAACGAGGTTCAAAGAGAAAGCAACAAACACACCGAACACGAACGACGACACAAGACTCGCAAATCCCTACACTCTCTCCCCCTTTGGCATCAAGACGCCAAAAAGGCAGAGAGGACACCTACACACACGGGGTGGCTCAAGCAGGGAACTCATCCCAACCCTCTCCGTCGGACTCCTCGGCAGCAGGGATGGTCTCCTCGACGTCCTCCTCAGAATCAGTCCACCTGTAGCCTTGCTTCTCCATCCACTTGGCCTCTGGAGTGATGCGATCCTCAGAGCCGCCAGACACATCCTCACCATAGAGCTGCAAGATCTTCTTGTCCCGGCGACAACTCTCCTTGGATGCCATGTGAGTCCTGTACTGGCCCTTAGCTTGCATGCAGAAAAGAGTCTTCATCTTGTCCTTCAGTTTCTTGGCCCACGAGGGCATAGAGGAACTATGAGAAGGCCTGGCAGCACAGTCCTCAGCAACATCCTCTGCGCCAACATCCTCCTCATCAACAGCAGCCCTAGCAGCAGACGCCTCAGCGCGAGTAGTAGTGTTGGCCCAGTTGGACTTGACACGGAGACAGATGGGATCATGGCGAATCCAGTCTGGAGCAAGAACTCCTCACCAGGAACATCTTCTCCCA